AATATGACACCAAATGTCAGTAACCCTAGAGAAATCCATTTAGAACCACTCAATGATGTTCTCAACATTATCACTGAGCATAAAGCTGTTGTTAATATTTTTAATTGATAAGTTACTTGAAAAGTAGCAGCATCCAGTAAACTTACTGCTATGTATTGTAAATTATTTTGGATTGTGTACAAAATGGCCGGTATTGCTAATTTCCATGCATCTTGTGCAAACACTTCATTGAAAAGCTCTCGTAGGTTGAAACGACCATTTGTCTTTATTTGATTTTGTATAGCCATATAAACAGAAATGATTAGTTTGGATAATTCCGATAGGAAAACTGCCGTAGATGTGAAATACAATGCATCTTTATCTTGAACAAGCCTAGAATATCTCATCACGATTACCAGCGTACTATTCTGAATGCATAACGTTAATAAACTTATATATTTTAATGATAACATTTTTATTTGCAAATTATATTGATGATGTATGTATGTATGGAGGATTTTGATGATGAAATGGGATATAATATGATGATGATGTTGAAAGTTTAATAATTTTTATTGATAAGTTTTTGAATTTTCTTTATAAAAAATAAATTAAAAAAGAGTTTTTTATTTTTTTTTTTTTTTTGACAAATCAAAAAGAATGATCCAAATACAAGTGCATAAAAATTTTTATTATACTATTTTTATGTGATATTTATTTAATTCATTGCCAAATTAGTGTTTTTTATCAAGCACAAAAAACCTGTTCTTCAAATTGCGTTTGATTAATTCATTTTGTGAATAAATCATTATTCAGATGCATATTTATCCTTTTTATTTTTTAGTTTTTTTTGGATTACGTGTAACAAACAATAAAACGCGGAAGTGGCGTTTAGCAAATTTCATTCATCACAATGTCTCTCTTACCCATATTTATTCTTTTCCTTCCCATAAAGTAAATGTTACAAAGAGCATATCGACGAAAAGGAAAAGAGGGGAAAAAAATATAACCATTTTCACAAAGAAATTTTTGTAATAATCTGCATTAATAATTTTTTTTTAATTTTTACTCTTTTGTCTGAGTCATATTTTGGATGAGCTACGTAATCCACGTTTCTTCTGGTTTTTCTAACTAATTTTTGAGAATTATTATCATCATCTTCATTTGTAATATTTCCAGAATTGTTATCATAAGAATGTTATTAATGTCAATATCATAACATTCTTGTTCCAAGTAATTATTTCTATCAGTTTCATTAACTTTACAATATTCACGAAAACAACTATTTTCCGAATTATGTTCACTTTCAAATTCATCTTCAACAAAGATATCTTTTACTAATCTCTTGGATCATAATTATTATCAGAAAATTTGTAAATTGATTCATCTTGATTAGTTTTGACTATTAATAAGTTTTAAATTTAAAAGAAAAATTTTGTTTAAAAAATTTTTTTTTTAGAATTGTTTATAATATCTCCTTTCCTCCATTTTTCTCTTTTCGTCACCAAATGTGACGAAATAATTTCCCCCTACAAAAACATTTCGTCGGGTATCATTAATTCAGTGAATACAAGTGAGTGATTATCTGTTTCGCTTGATGTCGCTTTGTGTGCATCGCGAGTGTATTTTGGTTGTAGTAAAAAGACAAGACAAATTATCGATTATAATAACACAAAAGCAATGTTGATCGGATGTTTATTGACTTTTACAGGAATCAATTTTTGCCCAATAATCTTGTCATATCTTCCGTTCGGTTTGATTCCTCATCCTCCAGGAGCTCAAAGGCTCGTTTACCTCTTGAAAAAAGCGCATAAGATTGGATTATAATACAGATGATATATAGTACTTAAAAAAATAGCTAGCTTTTTGATACTCCTTCCCTCGTAACCGAAATTCGCGTAACAAAAATTTTTTTTTTACTATTACTATTACGCTCTAAACATGTATTTTCCGGTCGTTACCAAATATAATTATAATATTTATAATATGTACGCCCATTGATTATTTAATCAAAAAATCCTTCAATCCCACCAAATTACAAATTAATAAAAAAAAGGTAATTCTTATTGCTTTTTGACCAAAAAAACAAATTAAATTGGACCAAATATTTTTTTTGTAAAACTTTTGCCGCGACTATCACCTGACTTTCTCAAAATACTTTATTAAATTGTACGTACTAATAAATTTAAATTAGATCATTTCATAGCTACCAAAAACTATTCCTGGCAAACTTAACTTACTGTCAATGTAATTTAAAAAAATGGAAGAGGTAATTCAAGAGTTAGACGAGAAATGTATTCAAGCATCTATTTGATTGTTTGTCTAATAATATAACTTTATATTTTGAAAAAATGTTCATACCTTCTTTTAGTCTAGCGCCTTAACATTATTACGTTTCATCCACTATAAGAATGAACATGAAGAAACAACCTATTTTAGTTTAAATAATTTATTAATGAAAATTATAAAAAATAAATCTTTGTCCAAAGTGTTTCGGTAATTTCGGCTACTAGTGAAGGTAGTTACAGCCGGATGTTATTTAAAGTTGGCAGCGAATTCGAAGTATCTCGACAAGTACTATTATCATTCTTATTATTAATTATTTGTATTTAAGTAAAAAAATTTTTTTTTTTAAATTTTCTCTTTTAATAAAAAATGCCTTCTATCAAGCAAGAGTGCAAGTGGCAAAAATGTCTGTACAGGTATACAATGTCAATTTCATCACAATAAGTTTTAATTTCAGAAAATATGAGCCAATTTATTAAATAAATATCATGTCAATAGTGGAAAATTCCTTAACGTTGGGTTGGAATTATTCGTAAGAAATTTTTTTAACATACCAAACTATTATAATCCAATTTTTGTGATTCTTCAAATACGAACCCGGGTACTCTCTTTATATTTTCGACCTGTCAACCCTTTTCTGTAAGCATTCATATATACCAAATAATTTTCTTGCAAATCTCCTATTTCATTAACTGATTACTAACTAATATTATCCAAAACATCAGATGAAATAGATTCAATAATTGTATTAGAAACCTTTATATCACTGTCAGATATATTTTGATAATCATTATTTAAAAATTTATTAATCCATTCAAAATCCCTTTCATGATCAAAAGGTTCATTACTATCTAATGGTTCGCTATTATTATGCAATGATATACGGTATCTCTTCATTATTATTATTTTATATTCTGCTACGAGTATTGTGTTTTTGTCATTCAAAGTAATGAAAAATTGAGGTTAAATTTTTTATTTGTTATCATCATCATCATCTAAATTGATTAATTTTTCTTTTCAAATTTTTTTATTTGAAAATTAATTATGGATATATTTATATCGAATTATTATTTTTATTCACACAAAATTTATTATTGATTCTTTCATTTCAGCCATTGATTTGTTCATTTCCTTCATCTATTATCTGACTTGGCACTTCATCTATTATTTTGCGCAGCATAACTTGAGTTATTGTTGTTGAAGTAGCTAGAAAGTTATCAGGTGCTGGCTCCTTTTCTGCAAAGAAGGATACCTTTCTTGTTAAAGAGAGAACCAGTATGAACACGCATGACTTGACAAAATAAAAATCGATTGGCCATTTGTCGCAATTTCTTTAAGCCACAACACTCACTAAGACAATATAATATTAAAAAAATGAATGTTGGAACTAACAACATCCCAAATAATGCAAGAAATTACGATGGTTAGTTGTAATAATAACAGTCCAGAATGTTGGAATGACTATAGCTGGGAATAATATCAAGAATAAGCAGATATAAATAAAAAACAGATAGCTCTTTAAAGACTATTCCAACTTTTTCATTATTGCAGCTACTGCGTAAATTAAATGCAACCCCATGTTTACAATTGAAAATATCTTTATGCTCATCAAATCATCATAGGCAAAAGAAACTATTAGCGGAATCACCCAAATGACCGAATTGTATTATAAGTCATCCATTAATGACAGCAGCACACTTTTTATGCGTCCAGATTCCCCTGAAACATTCAACAGAAAGGCAAAAAAGACTGGAAAGAATGTGTTAATAATTGCATCATATAATCCTCTTCGGATTTATACTTTTCGTTAACAATAGATACAGTCACAAGTGGAAGGAGTGTAAAGAAAATGATTTTTCACAAGATAAACTTCAATTTCACTTGCTTGCTTTGGTTAAGAGAATAATTGTTCATGTTGAATAATTGGAAAAGTTTCATCCATAGAACTTATTTTATAGAATCAATAATTGACAAAAACGAATGTATAACTCCAAAATTCAAAAAAAATAATTTGGGCATGTGATTAATAATTGATATTATTATGATACATATTCTTTTTATGAAAATATGAATCTTAAAAATATAATAAGAATGTTCAGTTGTTAGAAAAGGTGAAGTTTATAAATTATCAATGCTATTGTCAGTAAAGAAAAATTTGTAATACCATGAAAATATTAATTTAGTAAGAATGGTTGTCAGTAAAGAAAAATTTGTAATACCATGAAAATATTAATTTAGTAAGAATGGTTAGCATGCATGATGATGACAATTCCTATTTGATACTATATAAGGTATTAATGTCAGTTCCAATATAATAACATTGTCATTAATAAATTTAGAAAAAAAAAATCTTGCCTTATATAATAGATTTAATTAATAAATATATAATAATATAAAAATAAAAGTGTATAATTATTTGATTAAACCTGACGGATAATATTGGAATTAATTTATAAATTCCACCAAATTTAACAAATCTATTTTAATTCATAAACAAAACTAATAATTAGAGAGGATTTGGTTTGACTACTCCTTTAGATAGAAAGAAGTTGTTTAATATTGAAATTAATTGTTGTGCAATTGTGAAAGAGAAAACTAATTTAGGACCAACAATGATCATTTTAGGTGTTATTCCTTTAAAGAATGCACTTGTGCCTAAAAAAACAACGATAATAATATTATTATTAAAAAAAAAAAAAAAGTACATGTGTAAATTTTAATTTTAAAATTATTACCTTCTTTGAGTATCATTTTGCGAATAATTTTGTGTTTCAGTTTCAGGTGAATCAAAAGGTCTATTTTGGATACGAGTTTTAATTACATCAAGTGGTTGAGCGACACTTATAGAAGCAATAGCACCACCAATTGATGCGCAAAAAGTTTGAAAAAATGTTGCTTTAGAATAATCTTTTAATCCAAATAAATATTCTTCAACAAAAGCTGATCCACCAAACTAACATTAATATTATAAATTTGAATTAAATTAAATTGTAATATAATAATAATATTTGTTAATATTATGATAATGTATGAAATGGCTTTCTTACTAATGCAAAACTTCCTGGTGCATTACGTGCTGCTGTCCAAAGGCCACCTCTGAATACATATATATATTTATAAATCGATTATTATTATAGATTTGTTCTTTGGTCATATATAATTAATCAATTATTATATGAGCGGATGTTTATCTATAAAGTCCAAGTCCTTCATCCCAAAAAATTTTGAAAATGTTTCTGTCTTTTAATGTTTCAGGATTTGTTTGACGTTTAATTTTCATTACATCTAATGGTAAAAGTGCCACCTCTCCGATCCCAATTAAACTATCAATAATTATTTATTTTTAAAATTAAATTCATCCTACTAATTACATCGTAACATCCATTCCAAACATATTTACCTTCCAGCAGTGGCATGTATTATAGTTTTGCCACTTTTTTCACCGAATAATTTATAGAATACATCTTGATGATTGCTGTTGATATAATCTCTTACATATGGTTGACCACCATATTTATAAATTCTTTGGAGTACTTTGTATCCACCTGCATAACCTAATCCTGGAAACAATGATATGTATTTATGTAAAAGATTTGCGGAATGCTTATCCTATAATAATAATATTATTTATTCACTAGAGAATTTTGTACAAAAAATTTTACCGAAAAAAAATAAATCAGATTTTTTACTTTAAATATGGCTCGCTCTAAATTATTAGGAATTTGAGATAATGGTGCACCAGGTATAAAAACCTAATAAGCAAACTAATTAGCAAAGCAAAACAAAAATAATTTTTTTATCATTCCATCCACCATAAAAAAAAATCCAATATTTATTTACTTTTTGTTGATTAGTCATTAAACGTTTTGAAATAGTATCAACAGGATGAAATATAATTAATTCAAATACTCCTGAAGCTCCAGAACCCAATACACGAGCAAGTCCTGATTCCTTTTGTTTTACTAAATTAGCTGGTGGCGACATATTGTTATTACTATTATTATTTATAAATTTAGCAATAAAATTTTTTTAACAATAAATAGTGGAGAAAATTCATCTTTTTAAATTTTTCATCAAGATATTAATATTAATATCTGGAAAAAAAAAAAGCGGAAAATTTTCCCGAATGTGAATTAGCTAATAATAATAAATAATTTTCCTTCCGGAAAATTTTTTTTCATTTGTAATAAAGTTTTTTATTTACTCTAAAAATTTCTAAAGGAGAATTCGAATTTTTAAAGTACAATTTCCAGAGTGATAGTAATAGTAATAGTAATAGTAATAGTCCATTTTTTCGGTTCGAATTTCCTTTTTTGGATTTAATATTAAAATTAATTCACTATTAACCCGAATTATAGATAATGCTTGCAGCAGTCACATTCAAACCATAATGTTGACAGCCACATTCAATAGAATTTTCTCAGTCCTTAATGTTACTGTGGACTGCGAGATCGAGCATTACTCTTCTACTCATTTGGGTCTCTTTATTCTGTTGAGAAAGCGAAGTCACACATGAACACACATACGCTAGCATTGGTACAACTGGTACAAAGCTGGTACAAAGATAATAATTGCATCAAAAATATTACCCAAACATATCTAAAACAGTATAAATTATATCAAAAACAATACAAATACTGAATTTTATTGGTACAATGGTACAAGGACCATTTTACTATTCATTAATTTCCTTCTAGTACCTCAAATTTGATACTTTTTCGGTACAAAGCCATCTTTAAAATGTGATCTTTTTTACTTTTTTTATTTGTTCAATGTTCGTATGCATTCTCAAAATTAAAACCTCAATATCTGAAAGAATATTTTTAAAGATAATGATTTTTTTATGCGGTGAATCGAGAATATGAGTAATTTTTGATTTTAAATTTATCACAAGTTGTCAAGCAGTTTGTTGTGGACAAGTTATAAGAGCAGTCACAACCCTGCTCTTTTGAAGAGAGTGAAAGGGTGTTAATGAACAAGGCACTGAATACATATATTATAAATTACCAATTAAAATCAATTACTATATACGTATTGATTAATATAACCGCATTTTCGTTGTCAAAACATATTTTAGTCACTAAAAATTACGTATTCAAACCTATTTTTAAGTACTGAAAGTGAGTACTTTACACACAGGTACTAGTACTACTTTAATACTAATATAATAAATATAATAAATAATAATAATATGCAAGCAATTGTATCATATTTTATTACAAACATACACAATATTATTATTCATCATTTACAAGTGTTACACGGAAATTAGTTTTTTCAATATATACAAAGCTCGAAAATCAACGCATTGTAAAGAGAAAACTTTTTTTCTTTATATTATTAATGGCAATAAAAATACATGAATATGTTCTTATAAAAGGTTACTTACTGATTAGTGTTTCTTCCCCGCGCATCACTAACACTCATTGATTCATAGACAGATCATCAATTGAATTTCGTCAATTAATTTTAATTGATAGTAAAAATAGAAGAAGGTGAAGTAGTAGAGGGAGGAATAGCATGGAAATGGCTGTTATATGGTTTACATTTCTAATCCTAATCATCATCATAATAATAAATATATGTTTTTTATTCTTTACCATCAAAACCTTTACCCGATATAAATAATTCACTATTTAACGATTTTACTACTACTCTTACCATCACCAACACTCCTACTCTATTACTTTTACTATTTTAAGTGGAATCTTTAAATGTCACAGGACGTTGATCGGCCCGTATTATATTATATATAGACTAAATGATTGATTACACCAAATAAATAAATTGAAAAAATAAATTGGCAATTAATGTTAGTTAATATTTAAATTCTTTTAAAAAAATTTTTTTTCTTTGAAATGTCTAATAATAGTTTCTCATCCTTGGAAAATATTACATACTTGCTTAAAAACCTTAACATTAATAATGCTTCACCTTTAAATTATATTAATAAGCTAGTAATTGATTTTTCAAATTTGTTAAATAACTCAGATTATTATGATGTAGAAATCAAAGTTGGAGGAGTGGAAGATGTCAGAATTTTTAAAGTTCATTCTACCATTTTAAAGGCAAGATCTTTGTATTTTCGAGCAGCCTTATCCAATAATTGGATTAAAAGGTCTGATCATGGTACCATTTTATTTGAAAAAGAAAATATTTCTCCAAGAGTTTTTGAAATTCTTTTAATGTAAGTTGATTTGACTTATTAATAAAAAATAAATAAAGAATTGATTTATTAAATGAAATTTTTTTTTTTACATATTTACATTTTTAAAAGGTATATGTACAATGGAATTCTCAATATAGGTAGCCTGGATTTAAACCAAATTCTGGAACTCATTGAAGCATGTGATGAGTTAAACTTTAATGAATTAATTGATGATTTACAAAATTATTTAATCAATGAAAAAAGTGAATGGCTCCACCAAAATTTTATTTATGTTTATAAAGTTTCATCAAAACATCAATTTAGTTCACTTCAAGATTTTTGTGATAAATTGATTTGTGAAAATCCAGGTTCAATTTTAAAATCCAATGACATTGCAACAATTGAAAAACCAATGCTTGTATCAATATTGGAAAGTGATAATTTGAAATTAGATGAGATTGATATTTGGTATTATGTCATTCAATGGGGAATAAGACAAAATAAGTCATTAGAAAAAGATATTTCAAAATGGAATAAAAATGATTTCAAGAGGATGAAAAGTATATTAGAAGACATTATTTTATTAATAAGATTCAGTGAAATAACTAAAGAAAATTTCTATGATAAAATCAAACCTTATAGAAAGATTTTTGATAAAAATATATATGAAGAAATTCTTCAATATTATTTTACAGATAAATGGCAACCTAGATTTCTTCATTATAAAGGTCCAAGAACAAGAAGTAGCAAAGGAAAATTATTAAACTCAAAAATGAAATTACTGGTTTCTGGTTGGATTGATCAAAGTAATGGCTATTATAGTGAAAATGATATTCCATATGATTTTGAATTAATTCTTCAAAGCACTCAAGATGGATCTTCAAAATCAGTTTTTGAACAAAAATGTTATAACATCAAACAAACTATAGTATTTATGAAACTAAAAGAAACAGGTGAATTAGTGGGTGGCTATAACCCAGTTTATTGGAATAGAAAAGAAAAATCTTTAGATGAAGGATATTGGATTGAAACTGATAAAAGTTTTATTTTTAAAATTAATGAAAAATTATTTGGCAATTCAATATTAAGTAGGGTTGAAATACCTGAATATGCAATATATCATTATGGCCAAACTAATATTTTTGCTTCAGATAATATAGATTTTCATGAAGCTACCATAAACTTTGAAGATTTACGATTATACAACAGTATTAATAGTGAACTTTATTGTCGTTATTATTTTTCTAATGATCATTCTTATAAAAATAATTTAAATCTTGGAAATAATAATAAAAAAGTTTTTCTGTTAGAAGAATGTGAAGTATATAAGTTAGTAAAAAAAAATTAATGATTAATTTAATTTAGGATTATTTATATTTTCTTCTAAATAAATAAAATTTCCTGCAGCTAAATATTAAAAAAAATTTTTTTTTTGGTAAAAACCTAAATATATAATGATAACAGTTTCTCTCATCCTTGGAAAATATTACACTCTTAATTAGTAATCTTAGCATTAATAATATTGCTCTAGTAGGGCAAAAATGAGGGTTCTGGCACAAACGCATGGGTGTGTTATTGGAGTGATGACTGATTTATGAATGCCTCATCATTAGAGTAACAACAGATTTATGTACACACCATCATTTGAGAAAGCATAGTTTGTCATGACTCAGACCTTTTTTGGTATGCCATTTAGGGCTTGTGGGTTAAACGCATATGGCTCATCATTCAAGTGACAACAAATTTATGTATGCATCATCATTTTCGTAGGAGGTCATGTCCTACATTATAATTCGAGAGCCTCTTGAAACTCATGTAAATAAATAAACAAAGCATATGCTTTTTTAAGGCCTAAAATCCGAAGCAAAGCAGAGGATTGAAGGTCATTTCCGTGCATATAAACATACTTTGCAAATAACATGAGCTATTTTGAAGCAAGTATATCCAAGTACATATAACAAAATCTAACCAAAAATTGAACCCACTGAAAAAAATATGGTACCATTGATGCAAGAAAGCGCAGAATTTTGGTACACATTCCTCAAGAGGTAGGTCGAATTTTGGTACCCATAGCTCAAGAGATAAGTCGAATTTTGGTGTTTATTGCTCAAGAAGAATATTCTAACAGACCTTTGGATTACAAAAGACAAGAATATCTTTACCAGAACATTTGTGAAAGATGAATACAAAAATATTACTTGTCCAAAGCCATTCTATATTGGCAACAAATAAAATATTTAAAATAAATTCACCTTCATTACTTTATCACACTTTTTAATTTGTCCCCTTGCTGTCATTAAGTTTAATAAGCTTAATCTTTTGACAAATATTATTAGCTTTTCCCACTTTAAAGTAAAAAAGTACTAAAATAATTCATATATCATCATAAAAAGGATATAAGTATATTAAAAGAGCAAATAAAAAAATAAAAAAAAAAATATGGTAAACACAATAAATGAACTCTGGGAGAGAAATAAACAACTATTAAAAGAAGTAGTAAAATTAAAAGCACCCTTACAATTTAAACAGTTGAATGATGAAGAAATTAGACAATGAATAGCCACTGTTTTAAGTGAAAGCCATTACACTAACAATCTGATGTAGATGTGGTTGGTGAAATTATGAAAGTTTATTGCAACCAAGAAAAGTGGTCTAATTTTTGTAAATGATATCCTACTGAACCAGCTTGCAGGAATTTAGTTCTCAATACTTATCAATATTATCCTTATTATAAGCAATCAGGGGTTCATTGACAGGTAAGAAATAAGGCTAAAAGAGATATCTTTATCAACCTCATCAAATTAAACTCAGAAGAAAGCAAAGAATTATTTTGAAAGTGATCAAAAGAAGGTAAGATAGAAGATAATTTGACTCTAAAAGGAATCTTAGAAAATGGATATGAAGGATGAAATTCAATCAAATGAAGTTGTTATGACTATTATGACCTTAAAAATCTTTCTCTTGATGAATTAATTGGTAGTTGAAATGAGTTAACTTTTAAAACTAACAGGTCAATTGTTGGTATTTGCACCTATTAAAATATTTCCTGGATGAAAATCTCTGTGAATAAAGTCTTCATAGTGAATATGATGCAAATTTTGAACTATTGTAGCATCCATTCACTTATTTTTTGGTAAAAATCAAAATAACCAAACTTTCAAATAATCATCATTGAATACAATTTTATTTTGTTTAAAAAACAAATAATCAATAAATGTTTTCATCCATAATAACACTTAAAAATGCTTACTTTTATTGTGAAATTTTTTATAGACCATCTATTGGACTCTTTCTTGGTTTCTTGCTTCACTATAAAACTTACAAAAATCAACTCTAAATTGTAAATCAAAAAATGGATCAATTAATCAATAAAATAGCACCAAAAAAATGGCAATTTAAAAATAATCATACATACTTATTAGTGATAAAAAATATTCAAAAGGATTTCAAAAAGTTATCTGACAAAAAGATTGAGTTTAATCCCGATTTTCATTTATTGAAATGGCCATTGAAATTCACTTTTTACTTGAAGAAAGAAAATGAATTGTTATTTCTACAATAAAAAACTTCTGCCAACAAAAAACA